TATTATTTTGCTATTATGTTAATATTATGTTATTTATATTAACAAACCTCCTGTTATTTTACTGTTATTCTGCTGTTATGTTGCTATTATGCTACTATTATTTGGCAGATATAAGGTAAAATAATGATAGTTTTTTTTTCTGTTATTTACCTATTATTAACCTTTTATTCATTCGTTCGACTTGCGATAGTCCTGTAGAAACATTTCACAGTATTATTCGAAAATGTACTTTCAAATTCTTCACAGCAAAACAGTTGTGATTAAAGACATATTTTATTTTTCAATACTAGGAAGATGAGTTTCAACAGTGTTTTGTAAATTCTGTGAAATATCTATATATGCCAAAGTAATTGAGTATACTTTTCAAGAAATGTTCAATGTTGCTTTTAGACATGTTTATAAAAGATTCATTAAAAATATAATTTACATTCTCCTGTTATTCAAAGTTCATCTGATAGCATTAATATATACAAACTTGTTTCTTTAAGTTATAAAATAATGGATCATCATTTTCCATGAGACTTCGTTATTACAAGAAAACCTGATATTACTATTCTGTGTGACTACATGCATTATAACATTGATTCATCTGATAGTGAAATTCTGACATACAATCATGATTATCATAGTTTTTGTTTACAAAAAAATTATTTTAAATGCATTATATATCTTAATTATCTTAAAGAAAAAATTAAAAAGAATGTTGAGACATTGAAAGTAAGTTTGACTAAAGAAAGTGTTGATAATAAGAATAGTGAAGAGGCAGAAGATGATAAATTGAATCATATAGAAATAACGGATGATATTACTACTATAAAGAATCAATTAGAAAACAAAAAAAAATTATTTCTTACATTGTAAATTTATTATTTAAAATACATATATAATTATCATTAAATATTACATAATTATTTTATTAAATATTACATAATTATTTTTTAATTAAATTTATTATCGTTATAACCCGGACCAATTTTATATATGACGTGATAAAATTTTGGTCTGGATCCAAAAATAATTACCCAAATTGATAATCGAAATTAGAGATTTTGATTGGCTAATAGAAGACCGGAGGTTCACGGGAGTGATCTGCAATTTGTGTAACCTTGACGGTCGCTCCTGTTGTATAAACGTCCTCGCTACGCTTCGGACAATAAAAAAAAAACTATGGTTAAATTTTTGTTCATTGATTATTTGATCAAAATGAATACCGTATCGTCGCGAAATGTCGTCCCGGGGTGTTATTTAGGGACATTGTTTGAAGAGAGCTAATAATTAATTTAGCCGAAGACTTTTAATAACAAAAAATTATGATTTTCATTCGTTTAAATTAATAATTAGCTCTCTTCAAGCAATGTGTCTCGAAATAACGCCCCGGGGCGTTATTTCGCGACGATACGGTAAAAAATTTTTATTTCACAAACTTGCAGATAGTGTTGTTAAAAAATCTTTTTTTCTGATAACTATGATTCCAAATTTGATGAAAATTTATTTTTATAATTCTATAACTATAAATAACGATAAAGTTGTAGGATCTTCGATTTGAATTTCAATTAACTTTAGGCTAGGGTCATCTTAGATTAGGGTTAGGTTAGGTTTAATATGAATATATATAAGCAAAATTGCCTTTTTGAAAATTTTCATTAACCTATCCAAGGTAGGTTCAAACTGCCGTTTTTTATATTTTGCAAGTTTTTCATTTTTCGCTTTGTAGGGGATTCATCCAATTTCTGTAATTTGATTGGTCATGTGTCGCGTGGCCTGCCCGCTTTAGACGAAAGGAGTTCGTAATACCGGTAACTTCTTTATATTAAGCTTTGTCGTTGTTAGATTTATTTGTGGACGAGTCTAAAGTATTACAAAAATAGAAGTTTTTTACCATTACGGTAACAATATTGAATTACTCAAATTTTCTCTTCCATAGAAATATATCTTCGCCGTAGTAATGTCCATATTGATATTCTTGCCCGCCTCTAGCAGATATGATACCATTTAAATGCCTTTTTTTTTCATATTTATCACCACCCATATCATTAGATAGCCACATTACAGTCAGTCGCAAACAATGATACCACGATAATTGGACCTACAATTATACCAATTGAACAGTCCAATTGTAATTATTTTTTACGGGCAATCCAGCTACACCTAAAATAAAATTACCGGCTGGGCATTTTGCTTAGTGAACGAGCAATGACTTCAAGTAAAATTTTGGGTGATTTTTGTTAATTCCGACCCAACCGATCACGATTCCGATATATTCAGGCCCAAAATTTGGGGAGTTATTGAAATTGGCGTATATTTTTATGAGTTATTGAAATTGATGTATCGGTACGTATGCTCAATTTTCCAATTGAGAATGTATCTCCTTAGTCAAATTGGCATCACTGTACAACAATACTGCAATAAATGAATTCCTCCGTTTTTTTGATAACAATGTATCATTCACAAATTCGAATTAAAAAGGCTCTATATTTCAAATTAATGAATTGTGTAAATGTTCCCGAATTTACGTAATTTATACTCACAATTCGAAAGAGGCTAGCTAGCTAAATGAATGTGAATAAATAAAAATGAGTGGCGTGTGTAATGGTAAATATTGCTGACATAAATGGGATAATTATTTTTGATATCTGATATTTGTTTAATACCCGCGTTGATTTAGTAAAATAAGTTAGGGTGAGATCCACATTTACATATGTAAAAATGTAAAAGCGGACTTCACCATCAAATAACGTAAAATTTTAACTTGTCTGTCCTTTTATAATCTGATTGGTAAAGTTAAGTACCGTGATCGGGGTTATCCGTTGATATACCATCATCATCTTTTTAGTAGCGCTAGTCATAAAATTTTAGGTCGATCGCGATTGATTAAATTACATGCATAACAATGCATCGGTGTGGTACCAGCCAATGGATGTATTCTTATTAAGCCTACTATATACATTAGTGGTAATGATTTATACATGTGACCCCACAAGACTGTCACAAAAATTTGTGATTTGTCAATGGCTTATCATTAGAGATATAGAATCATCTTGTGTCACACAAGTAGAAATCATATTAACACTTTAATAGAGAACGATTCAAAAATAAAGACGCCAAACTTTTCGGAATTTTCATCGGATTAACGGAAAGGGAAATGGAATTAAAAATTATCGTTTAAAAGGAACTGATCGGATGCAATCATGGGCGCAAAAAGTGCCGTTTTTACTTATATTGGCATTTTTCAATAGATATTATGATCCCGTGAAGTCTTTACAGATTTTATTCAAGAGACAGTCCAATTTTTTAGTTAGGGTCTGACTAATTTTTATAATGAAGTTTGGGCACCACTTGAAAACTTCTCTTTACCCGGAGTGGACGGTATATTATCTTGCTTATGAGGACCTCAAGCGAGAATTAAAGACTCGGACTCGCAATGGTCAATGGAGCGAAGAAGACGAAGTCTCCTTTCTAGAGTTTCTTGAAAAAGAACTCGATAAAGTTTACGCTTTTCAGGCGTCTATGTCTGAAGACATAAATAAAAGAATTCAACTTTGTGAAAAAGAAATTAGTAATCTAGATAGTAATGCAGTGGAGGATCACTACCTCGCACTCGAGGAGGAGCTATCATTAATCATTGCTGATGTACATGACCTTGCAAAATTTACTCGTTTGAATTATTCTGGCTTCTTGAAAATAATCAAGAAGCATGATGCAAGTATTCTTGATCATTTTATTCACGTAATAAATGCACAATGTGACATCTCAATTAATTTTTGACATTTATATTGATAATCATGCTTACAGAAACAAACAAACAGGGAACTTAAATATATGTATATGTCACGTTTGAATGCCAAACCATTTTACAAGGAAAATTATGACGCGTTAATTGTTAAATTGTCGCGTCTTTATGACATTGTTCGCACCCGTGGTAACCCAGTCAAAGGCAATTCTTCTTCTGGTGGTCAACAGCAAAATTTTGTACGCAACACTACCAAATATTGGGTTCATAAGGATAATATTACTGAACTCAAACTTCTCATATTGAAACATCTTCCAGTCCTAGTTTTCAATCCTAATAAACAATTTGATCAAGCTGACTCTGCAATCTCTTCTATATACTTTGATAACGATGATTTTGACCTATACCTTGGCAGATTGGAGAAGACCGAAGGTGCCGAAGCTATTCGGTTACGATGGTACGGTGGAATGGATGTAAATGAAATCTTTGTCGAACGTAAGACGCATCGAGAAGACTGGACTGGTGAGAAATCTGTCAAAGAACGTTTTCCAATAAAAGAAAAATATGTAAACAGGTATCTTCGTGGCCAACATATCATGAATGAAGATTTTAAAAAAATGAGAGATAAAGGAAAAAGTGATAAAGAAATTTATGACTTGGAAAAATTGGCAAACGAAGTACAATATAGAGTTCTCACTAAAAGGTTGAGACCTGGTTAGTATTATTGTTAAATCATTATTGTACCAGTATTGTTTACTGATATGTTTGATGCAATTCTTCTGTTGATTAGTGTTACGTACTTTCTACAATAGAACTGCATTTCAATTACCTGGTGATGCTCGAGTTCGTATATCTCTTGACACTGAATTGTCAATGATTCGCGAAGATAATTATGAAAACACCATTCGTTGTGGTGACAATTGGCGAAGAATGGATATCGGCATAGATTATCCATTTTCACAGTTACCTGAAAAAGATATTGAGAGGTTTCCTTACGCGGTTTTGGAAGTCAAATTACAGACTCAATTTGGACAAGAACCACCCGAATGGGTACAAGAATTAGTACATAGCCATCTGGTTCGTTCATTTCTTTATTTATCATAAGACTACATTATCAAATTTTTGATTCTTAATTTCTTCGTTACGCAATGCATGAAGGTTGAAGCAGTTCCTAAATTTTCCAAGTTCATTCATGGTGTTTCGACTCTTGTGGAAGAGCATCGAATTCATCTTTTACCATTTTGGCTTCCACAGATGGATGTAGACATTCACAAACCAGCTCGAGGTAACTACGGTCTTCAACGACCTGCTGCTGATACGCCATCTAATGAGAATAACGACCCAATGAGTTCCGGGAGCTCAGGACAAAGCGATAATGTTACTGTTGAGGTAGATGAAATGATTGATGAAGACGAAATTAACGAGGAAACACCTTTAATTTCGGAAGAAAACCAACAAGAGTTTTCAAGATGGTTATGGACAACGCCATCTACGAATGTACTAGAAGATGAACCCGTCATCGGATCTTCTTCTGGACGAATTTCATCATTACCAGTTCCACGTTATTATAAGGGAAGGCGTGTTGCAGTACCTGTTCGCGTTGAACCCAAGGTATATTTCGCCAACGAGAGGACTTTTCTATCTTGGTTACATTTCGCCATTCTTTTAAATGGATTTGCTATTGGATTATTAAATTTTGGTAGTGATGAAGTATCCAACATTGTGTCCGGAGTATTTATGTTTGTTGCAATGTTGGTTATGATGTATTCACTTTTAAATTATCTTTTCCGAGTCTACTTGATTCGAAAACGATCTTCTGGACCATACGAAGATAAGATTGGGCCTCCATTTATTTGTGGATTATTATTCATTGGGGTGCTTGTCAATTTCTGGCTAAGGTTTTGGACTCCCGAACAATTGGTGTTATAAAAGTAATGGATATTATATGGGTAAATATATTAGATAAATTTTAGTAATGTGTTTATATCTACAAATATAAACATTTGTGTTCTGTTTAAATACATATTGGTTTATTTAAGTCGCGTGTCTCTTAAATTTCTGAATACTAGTGTTGCGTAGCTAAAAAATTTAGTATGTGTGATATATCATTTGCACAAACTCATACTAGGATGTTGCTCTGGTATACCATAAGTGTCTCGCTAAATCACACAGTGAAATATTCAATTTGGATTGTACAGTTATAAATAATAAATATTTTTTAAATATTTTTATTAGTATTAAATTTTGAAACTGCCTAAAATTTTTCTGACCAATTAAACATTTGATCCATCCAACAATAAAATAATTTTGGCCCATGTTTAATCTAATTTGGCCCGAATAGAGTTGGAATTAATTTTACTTTACATATAGTCAGGGACAGTGAAAAATATCGATTTGATTTGGCAAAAATATTACTGATAGTCAAAAATAGGGGACGTCTAAAGCGGAGGCAACTCATATTTAATAAAGTTTTCGATTAACTTTAGGGTTAGGTTCTCGTATATCGGGTTAGTTTAGGTGGTTATATATATACAAAATTGCCTTCCCAACATTTTTAATTAACCTACCCAAGGCAGATTTTGACTGCCATTTTTTGTATTTTTTATTTCTTTTTTTGCAATCATCAAAGTTATATAATTTGATTGGCTACTAATCACGTGATTTACCTCCGCTTTAGAACGACCCTGTCACCAGCAAAAGATGGGAGCCGGACAGATTTGATTATGACAATATTGATTACAAATCAAAAAAAGTCTGTGCCCTAGTAAAATTCAATATCGTTACCATATAATAACGAATAAAAATTTTTTTTACTATTATTACTGTATATATTTTTTTTTCTTAACTTTGGCAGTCTTGCTGATTGCTCTTTATTAAGACATCATGTTTTTATACTAACATTTTTAAACCTAATATATTGAGTCAACATTCTGCAGTTACTTCTATAAGCACTTACAAGTGATCTGCTTGCATCAGATATCTAATTTTCTAAGAAAAAAAAGAGATCTGAAGATACATTTAATTACTATTTTATAATAGAATATTATCAATCTGATAACATTTTCTTATAAAGAAGTAAAAGAAAACAAAAAAAATTTATTATATAATAGAAAAAAAAGTACAAAGATATAGGAGATAAAAATAAAAAATACAAAACAAGAAATAAAAGAAAAATTAAAAAAAAAAAAAAAAAAATATATGTACAACTTTTATTATATAACTATCAAATAGTTATAATTATTATTATTTTTTTGGTATTAAGGTGATCTCTTTGGTTATAGTTTTTTATTAATATTCATATTGGTACATGTTTTATATAGACATATCTATAATGAACTATCAGATGAGTATACAACTGACTACACATGTAACTTTTTTTATATTATCTATTTAAGAAGTCTGCTCAAAGGTTCTCTACTAGTTGCTGTATCTAACACCCCTGCTTAGATATTTTATTTAAACTCTTTGATCTGATTCTGATATTAATTTCACCAAATTACAGACCCAAATCTATTCATTTTTAACCATAGGACTATAATTCTTAAATTATTTTTATTTTCAAGATAAACCTATCAGAGCAAGCCATATTCCCTTTTACTACTAATCTGGTTTAATACTATGGCTGAGGTCAACACTTGGCAGTTAAGGTTACTTCTTAAACTGCTATTACTCTTGTAAAGTTCACCTAAATGCTAATACTTATCTTTCTGACTTCTTCTTCATCATCTCCTACTAGTTGCAACTTAGAATCAACAATAGACTTTTTCAGACTTCTAATCCAGATAGCCTAATATAGCATACTTATGTATCCTTTTTCTTTATCGATTTTAGCAGTCTAGTTGGTTATATGCTTCTTTATACATCTTGTCATTCAGTTTATCTGATAGTTTCTATGAAGGTGTTTTATAAGTTTCTATCAGTCCAATAGTATAATCAAAAGTTTGTACTATTTCTTTACTTGGAATTTTCAAGTGAGTTTCCATCTCCTCAATTTCTTGCCTTCTATACCTGATGTTCTTATCATAAGTTTGCACTAAAGCCTTATCTGACACTGCTTTTTCATATTCCTTTATATACATGTAATGTTACACTTCACATAAATGTTCCGAGCTCCTAATGTCAGATAAGACCTAACTTGATGTACCTAAGATTACAGATGTCCAAAACCCAACTGATTAGCAAAAAACAGTTACTATAACATAGATATAATTTCCAAAATTTATTGTTTGTAAGAATTGAACCTTAGACCTGCCACTTGAGAGTTGACAACCTATCTACTTCACTAGATTACTACACTCTTAAATAGTCACAATTATAAGTTTGTGTTAAGTCTTAAAAATTATAAACTATACTAAATAAAATTAACTCTATTATTATTCTATTTATTTAGAATATTTAACAAAAAAAAAAATCATATTAAATAAAAACTTCAACTTAGACCTAGAGAGTTAGTATGCATATTGATTAGTCTAAAAACAGTATTTTATAAAAGTTTATTAGTCTAAAGCATATATATAAGTCATGCTTGTATTGTTATATTGTTTCTATAATCTCATTTAGAAAATAAATACTGATAACTGTTTTAGTGATTTTATATATTAATTTTTTGAAAAGAATAAACTAAATTACCTATTTTTATAAAATTTTCTTTGAAAAAAATAAAGATATTAAATAAACCAAACTTTTGGTTTCTATAAGTGCTTGATCCTTTTGAATGTTCTTTATAAGTTTTATAGTTGTATAAAAATAATATATCCAACTTTGTTGTTTATTTTATAAAAAACTTCTGGTTTTTATCAACTACTCTTCTATAGTTCCAAAATACTTTTAAACTATTATTACAAAGTAATAGTTTTTTTTTTTAACTCTATTTTAATACTCACTATGCATGCCTAATACTTTAAAAAAGTTTTTATGAGATTTAATATATTAACTATATTATTTTTCTATAGTTCAGTTTTTTAAAAAGTTTGGTTCAGACGATTATTAAAAAGAGTTCTTATATTATTACTGCTATTACAAAAGTAAATTAATGCAAATGTTCTAAAATTTTTACAATTTTTATTTATAGTTTTATTTTATTTTATATTTATTTGAATTTTTTTTTGATTATAGACAAATTTAAATTAAGAAAAAAATTTTTATAAATTGTTATTTTTTTAATTATATTAGACAAACATACCAAATTCTGCAAAAAATATTATACTATTTAAAATAGTAAGAATTTTTTGAATAAAAAAGAAAACAAAATAAAAAAATGTTTATAATCCTAAAATCAGATTAAATTGTTATATTTAAAGAATAATAAAGAACACTCTAATATGATAATTAACTATTTGAATATTACTAAAACTGTGTATAATGTTTTAATTTTATTAAATAATACTAATAAGTTTTATTAATATGAGAATAAAGGATTATATTTAATATTTCATATTAAATAGATGTTTTATATAATATTATTTTAGAAGATAATAAACACAAAAAAAAAATATTGAATTTGAAATAAGTTATTATATTATTTTTCTTGTTTTTAATAAAGATAATTATTTATGAGTTTATCAAAATAAAAATCCTTAAAAAAATTAACTATTTTTAAGTTATTTTTATAATTATCAGATTGAACTTAGAAAATAATAAGCAAAACATTCTAAATTAAACAAATAATAAGATATTCTTATCTTTTTAAACAATATAATTGTAAAGAATTAATCAAAATAGAAATTTTATTTAATTTAAATTTAATTAAAGTTGAATATTTTTATATAATATTGTATTCATAATTAAGGTATATTTTAACAATATCTAAAATTAAAAAATAGACCTGCAGATTAATAGTGAAGTAGTTATGCTCCCAGGTCACCAATCGCAAGGTTGCTGGTTCAAGTCCAATAGGAGACACAAACTGAGTTAGAACTATGATTGTAAATTAATATACTAGATGGCATATTACAAAAATAGGAAGATCTCTAATACCAAGATCCTTAAATAGTGACAGATCTGACATAAGAAGGCCATGATGATTAGAGGGCTGAAGATAATAATAGAACAAAAAAATCTCTGATTAGGAATAATCATGATGAAATTCTGGGGTAACAGGAACACAAAAATTAGTATATAGATAGTACTGTAAATGTATACAAATAATGTAAAAATGTAGACAAGGTCCTGATAGAAGGTTCTGTGAACTTGAAATTTGAACTAATAAAACAGCCATCAGCTGTGGCCTACTAGCAACTATGCAGTGGGAAATTCAAAAAAAAAAAAAATTTTAAAAATTTATTTAAAATAATATTAATTTTAGTATTTCTAAAATTTAGTATTAAGTTTAAGATAATTGTATTAATAAATATAAAAATTTTAGTATTTTTTTTTTTTTTTCGGTATTAAGGTGATCTCTTTGGTCTGAGCTTTTTATTAATACTTATAGCAAGTACATGTTTTATATAAACGTATCTATAATGAACTATTAGATGAGTGTACAACTGGCTACATGTGTAACTTTTCTATATTACCTATTTAAGGAGTCTGCCTGAGGGTTCCCCACCAGTTGCCATACCTAACACCTCTGCTTAGATGTTCCATTTAAACCCTCTGATCTAATCTTAGTATTAATTTCACCAGATCACAGACCTGGATCTATTCATATTCGACCATAGGACTATAATCCTTAGACTATTTTTATCCTCAAGATAAACCTACCAGAGCAAGCTGTATTCCCTTTTACCACTAACCTGGTTTGATGCTATGACCAGAGTCAACACTTGCAGTCAGGGTTACTCCTTAAACTGCTATTACCCTTGTAAAGTTTACCCAAATCCTGGTACCCATCTTTCCAACTTCTTCTTCATCATCTCCTACTAGCTGCAACTCAGAACTAACCGACTCCCCAGACTTCCAATCCAGATAGTCCGGTATAGTATACTTAT